TGAATCCATCTTCGAGGTCGACTTGTAGATCTGCATGTTCAAGCTTCCATCGCTGACCATGCTGTCATCGTCCTTGAAAGTACTGGCAGCTTCTAGTTGTGCTTGCCATTTCTTCATTAGTAACTCTTGTCCCCTGTCTTCAGTGGAGACTGCTTTCTTCTTCAGAATCGGTCTTACACGTACTTGTGCAAGGTTCCATCCTGTAATTCTACCATTAGATTGTCCATCAGCAACAGATCTGCCTCGTACCACATAAGAGCCGGGTACATCAGTAGCACCAGAAGTGGCATTTCCACTCCTGTCAACAACAGCTCGTTGCATGTTGCTTCGATGTTGTTGACCAGTTGCTTGCGTTCCTGTGACGCTAGACGCGGCATCCGACTGCGCCGCAGATGCAGTCGCAGGGACTTGGAGATTGGCTCTCCCCGCTCGTCTTGAAGCAGTAGTAGTAGTAGTAGTAGTGGGTGCATCGCTGTATCGTCCTGGGTCGTTCCATTCCGCTTATGGGCGCGTGGAGCGTTCGGGACAACGGGTGACCCCATGGCCAGTATCTCCGCAACACCAGCAACTAAAAGCCGGTCGTGACGATGTCGTTTGAGTAGTCGTTCGAGCATTCGCTTGTGCGCTGCTCACTCCGTCAGGGACACTACCGCTTGCTGTGTTTGTTCTTGGAGTATGTCTCGGTGTCGTTGGACCTTTTCCTCGATTGTCCGGCTTATGTTTGGTCAGCGCTTTTGCGACCTGATCAATCGTAGTCGGATATTCATTTCTCTGTTCGTATTCCTTGAATTCCATGGCGTAGGTCTGGTTCGCCTTGTCCAACATGCTTTGGAAGCGAGACCTGTCGCAGTTGTAGAAAAATGCGCTGGCTTTAAATGTTTCCAGAACTTCTTTCTTGAACGTTTCTTGAAGTGCCTTGGTATCGTCCGGATCGTCCTCCGGATCGTACAGATCCAGGTACCCCATTGTTTTGGTCGCATAGACATGCAACACATCGGTGCCAAGGATTTCGAATACTTGGTCAGCTTGAGCTTCGAACCGCCTTCTGTAATCGTTCACAGACTCGTTTTGCTTCTGAGTGCAGTTCGCGAATCTCTTGAGAGATTCCATGAGTCCAAAATGTTGCCACTCGGTCTCATCCGTGATGGTCATGAACGTCTTCATACGTTTCAACAGCATCACATGGTCTTCCTTGAGGTCCAACCAATCAGTTTCGTTGCTTAACTTATCTCTCATTGCTTGAGTGATGAAGTGCTTGGTGATGATAATCAACTCCGTAGCTGTAATGAGAGCCTCAACGCTCTAGCCACCTCTGGAGTATACTGAGCTCGAATCTACGTCGGCTATGGATTGCCTACAATAGGAACAGGTGCCAGTGATGCTGGGCTTCTACCTGCGGATGAACAGTTGTCAGATAATCAACTCCGTAGCTGTAATGAGAGCCTCAACGCTCTAGCCACCTCTGGAGTATACTGAGCTCGAATCTACGTCGGCTATGGATTGCCTACAATAGGAACAGGTGCCAGTGATGCTGGGCTTCTACCTGCGGATGAACAGTTGTCAGATAATCAACTCCGTAGCTGTAATGAGAGCCTCAACGCTCTAGCCACCTCTGGAGTATACTGAGCTCGAATCTACGTCGGCTATGGATTGCCTACAATAGGAACAGGTGCCAGTGATGCTGGGCTTCTACCTGCGGATGAACAGTCTCACCACTTCCTATTAGATCTTATTCTACTGCTATTCTTGCCAGAAGTCAATCAACAATGATCTCCACAAGCAGGTACAAAAAATCTCTTCCGGAAGCCATCTGCGTCAGCTCTCACCAGCTGTCGCGGCGTATAAAGCACATACGCACATGTTCTTCACGAACTAGTCACAGATCTAGATCTACCTTCAATACTTATCCATCTCTGTAAGTACTCGAACCGTACTCCCGTCCGTGTTCGATATCACGAATGTCGGACTTCACTGTCCGACATGTTCGACTGTTCTTTTATCTGTTAAGATCCCATTTCACCAACACTCATCATCACCAAACATGTAGCTTTGACCTTTGATTGGCACCCCAAGGTACCTCAAGGTCTGTCAAAGATCCATGATCTGTTTGACATAGGTTTGAGTGGCTACAAACTCAGAACCATAAGTAGCAGTCTCAACAGTTGACTACTTCTTTGAGAAGAAATCAATTAGGGTTCCATTCAACATATGATGGATTGTACCCACAGCTGATCGGTCTGTCAATAGACAGTGGGGTTTTGTTTTGTTTGGCGGTACATAGGTAAAGTCAGAGTAAGGTAGGAGTCTGGGCTTGTGTTTGTCACAATGTTTAAGGGCATTGACAAGTTGCACTCGGATCTTTTGGTGATCTTTTGGTGTTTGGGTTCCTCTCCCCATATCCACAAGGACCTTGTAGGTTGCAAGCAGATCCATCTCAACTTTGGCGGCATGCTTCCAGTTGGTTTGCCATGGAGTTTGTCAAGTGGAAGGACACCATTGTGGTCCTTCTGGATCTTGTAGTTGTACATGTACTTTGGTGTAGTAGTATGTAGCAATCTCAGCTTGACTTGATTGGCTGGACAAAGAAGTTTCTTCTTGTCCTTGACTATATTTCTAAGAAGTTTATAACCTTGACTTTCTAGTAGGTAGTGTAGGTCATTAAGTCATCGGCTCTAATGATGTTCAGTGTTCTGGGGTATTCTCCCCATGTTTCCATCCAATGGTCATACTGTAGGCCAGACCCAGGTAAGAAGGGTGTTGAAGTCAAATGTAGTGATGGTGGCATACAACTCGATTGAGCTTCCAATCAATGGGGTTGTCCTTGTCAGTTTCTGACCACTTGTGAATCTCCTGGTAAGCCATGACACGTTCATATTAACCTTTGTCAATGTTCAGGCATAGTTGAATATGTGCAGGATGAATGTCCCTGTTGCGATTGTGCTTGTAATTAAGCTCAACAATCTTAGCACGTTGAACATAACCTTCATCTGGTGAGAGAAGGAAAGTTTGTCCAATGAGGTCACAATTTCCTATCAGAACGTCTTCTATATCTGATTCATTGTCACTAGAATAAACAACGGTCATAATGGTCTTATTGTCTCTAGATTTAATTTTTGGAGGGGGTGTCAACTCCTCCCCATCAGATAGATCAATTGAGTTGATTATTGTAGGGAGCGTGAGTTCCTCCCCATCAGGTAGATCAAGACATTTGTGTAGCTTCTTAGGTGATCTAGCAGAGCCTATCAAAGATAGCCAACTGGCGCCTTCTTTTCAGGTTCTTCTGCTTGGTGTTTCTTGGAGTGACTCTGGTGGGTTGTGGTGTGAAGCTGGTCCTTTTGAGTTGCGCGCGAAGCGTGCGACTCAAAGGACCAGTCTCAGATTTCCCCTAAGACGTGAAATCTGAGACTTGCTTGTCTGCCAGGCCTTGACACAAAACAATCGTGTCAAGGCCCAACAGGGTGTGGTGGGGTGGGAAAGAAAGAAATAACTCTATCTTTCTGTGAGTATACTTGCACACAAGTTGGATATGTGTAGATCGGACTTAGGTTGCTGGTGCAATACTGAGATGACGGTCGCCCTACCGTCGTTCATGGAGTCAATATTGAGTCCATTGATTCGACCGCTTTCTTCCGTCTACGTTAGACTATCGAAGATAGCCAACTGTCGCCTTCTTTTTGGGTTCTTCTGCTTGGTGTTTCTTGGAGTGACTCTGGTGGGTTGTGGTGTGAAGCTGGTCCTTTTGAGTTGCGCGCGAAGCGTGCGACTCAAAGGACCAGTCTCAGATTTCCCGTAAGACGTGAAAT